TAATTTCTGCTTTCTTCTTTTTAGGAAAAAAAAAATGAAATGGAAATCAAACAGGTCTATTTCTTATAGGAAATAAATGTAATTGATAGCAAGTTAAATCCTTGAGTTCTGCCTAGAACATGTTCTTTCATAGGAAAAGCCAGTGTGGTTTTTCTTTGTAGCTTAGGTGTTTTTCATGGTTGCATGAAATTTGTTGATTTGATCTCTTTAGCATTGTGAAATTTTAACCTGATTTCCTGTGTGGTCAATATGGAAAGAAACTTGTAGATGTATCTGCAGCCTGAAGATGATGAAAGATCAGTTATCTCAATGCAATAAAGATGAAAACAAATACACCTGTTGTAATAGAAGAATTAACGTGCATTTGTTGTAAAACGCTGGAAGTCCTCCATTTGTATGAGGTGTTTGTGGAAGCAAAATGTGTTTTGTCAAGGATGCAGCTTTTGACCATCAGAAATAAGAGGTGAGGACGTGTTGAGTGAATTAAGGGAAGTGTTGAAAGAGTTGGTAAAAGAAAAAACACATCATAGACATTGCTCAGAAGAAAGAAAGAATTGTTAAGGTTTCCAAAGGTGTTTTCTGTACTAAGAGATGAGCTCAGAAGAAACCTGGGGTACAAAGTACAGCATCTGAGAGTGTCTCTAGTCTTCTTCTGACCTGCATGTAAGATGTTAATCCTTAACCAGCTGTATTTAATTTGGGGGTGGTGTAGGCACTTTTGATCTGCCTGAGAGATTTTTCTCACTAGTGTTTTACAGATTGGAGCCTGAAAATTGCCTTTCAAATCTTGATAATTAGTGATGGTGGGTGGTGAACATGAACTGCAAATGGTTTGAGGTTTTCTTTTTATTTTTGGCTTCTGAAAATCTGTGGGCCCCCAAAATGCTGTGGAAGACAAAAAGGAAAATTACATTTGTGCAGAAGTGGGGGAGGAGGAACAGATGTGTTGTTCTGCTGCAGTGTGAAATGCTGTGTTTCACATCCCCAAAGCTCGGCCAGGCATCCTGACAAGAGAGGACCAGCACCTCTCTTCTGAGTGATTCCTAAATCTCATCCCTGAGGGCCTTGGTCCTCAGGCAGGGGAGGTTTCCCAAGGCTGGAGAGCATCACGCAGCCCTATACATCAGATTTCATCCCCCGTGAAAGTAATACTGCTTTCCTGTCACTCTGTTCTTTGTATTAAATCCTTTACTATCCCTGGATTGTGTCTAGTTATCTGTGTCTCACAGAGCTAGGTTAACAGCATTCCAAGGAACATGCCTAGAAGTGTGTTAGTTTCACCTTGGAGGTCATTTTTCAGTAGCTTTCTCAGCCCAGTTTATTGGCACCAGGAGAAGTTTGCCTCCATAACCCAACTGTTAATTGTGTGGCTTTTTCAGGTGCTGCTGTGATTGCTATTCTTTAATGTAAAAGGTGAAACTTCCAGTTCTTCTATCCCTATGTGGTCCCTTTAATCACAGCATGCCTGCAAACGTGACCATATTTTTAGAGGTAGATGTGTGCTACCAAAATGCTGCAGGAGAGATTTGATCATGGATATTTTTTTCTTTTCTCTCCCAAAGAGCTTTAGCCTGCTGCATTCCTTTTCTATATCTCTTTGCTCCTAATTGTTCCTGCAGCTCAATGATCCTGGGCACTAATCAATAATTCAGTATTTTGCAATTTGTTGTGCTGCATGTTGGCTGTATAAGACTTCACAAAAAAAAAAAAATATTCTTCCTAAGCCCAACCCACTGATCCTTTGTGAAATATATTTGGGGTTTATTACTATGCAGCTGTTTTCCCTTTTGTAAACAGTCCCTGCTGAGAGACAGAAAAAGAAACAGGAAAAATAATTAAAGATGGCAGGAGCATAATTCATTCAACAGGTACTTCTGTGCCTGCAGTTCTGCTGCTCAGAGGTGCTGAGCTGTGGTAGGCAGTAATTCCCCCTGTGACAGCCTCCTGCCCAGGTCTAACCCAAACACCTCCACATCCTTTACCAGGGTTATACCAAACCTTATCTTGCTCCTTTTCTGATAGAGGACACAGGACTGATACCAAGAATGGTCTCAAGCATCAGTGCTTATTACTCCCCAGTACAAGCTTTTATACCCTTTTCCCTTATGTATAACATCTGTGTACCCTTTTACTCTTTTGTGATTGGTCAATACAAATCAGCATTCCTTGCTCCTTTTTCTTTAACGCTGTTCACCTGTCCTACACAGCTGCAGTTTATCCAGGGGCAAGATTGCCTGCAGCACTATCTATTCTTTTACAATCCATTCTCCCACACTTTTCTCATAGTTGGCCACACCCTTTTCCCTGGAATAATACTACTCTTTGTATTTTAAATCAGAAGTCAGTGTTTTGAGGCTCTGTCTACCTGGAGGCTCCTGCTTTTCTCTGAAATCTGAAGCAAGGACTCTGCTAGTCATGTTTGCCCCCTCGTTTGTTTTAGCTGGTCCTTTAAAAGCTCTTCTTTTTAAACAAATGTATGTCCTCTGAGAAAATAAGTCCCGGATTCATTTCCAGTCCAAGTAGCAGTTCCCTCTCCCAGTCTGCTGTTTCTCCACCGTCTTCCACACCCCTGTGTGTCTTTACCTATCTCCAAGCACAGCATGGCTGATGCTTTAAATCCCTTTGGGTCCTTGTTTCCCCCCATCAGTGAGATCATCTTAGTGCAGGCTGCCACTTGGACACATGAGAGGATGAACTGTCAGCTGTGACACTCCCTGAACTGCAAAATCTGAGGAACTTCCCTGGCTTTATACCGACTTTTCCTGTAAAATCTAGGTTTTCTGGGGTGAAGGATAGGGAGGGAGGAAGTTATGTAGCCATACAGGGTTAAAAAAATAGCTCCAGAGCTCACTCCCTTCCACTAACAGTATCAATGCCTGGTGTAAGTTGTCCAGAACACTGGCTACCCCACCTCTGGAAGTGTCCAAGGCCAGGCTGGATGGAGCTTGGAACAGCCTGAGCTAATGGATGGTGACCCTGCCCATGACAGAGGTTGCAATGAGTTGAGCTTAAAGTCCCTCTCAACCCAAGTTTTCTATGATCCTATACAATCCTATGTTTTGGGGTGAGTAATTATCTGTGGCTAATGTAGAAGGATGGGGCAATGACAAATTCAGGCTCAGGTGTGCATGTGAAGAAGAAGAAAAAACAGACTAGAGCATGTTGGGGATGTACTGAACATAAAATTGTGCAGGGGTGACAGGGAGGGGTGGCTGCGATAAGCATTGTATGTTCTGGAACACCCTGGCCGAGTGGAGAGAAGCACTGCTCTGTGCAGAGAAGGGGGAAGCTGGCTGTGTGTAGGAGTTACTGGTGGTTCTGCATCCAGAGTCCGCCCCCTTGCTTGGTGAAAGCCACGGTCTGCTGTAACAGAAGCAGAATCACTCCGAGCCTGGCTGCCATGTCCCCATGTCTTTGGCTTTGGGGATGGGCAGGAAAATCCCTCTGGAGGCAGGAGCAGAACCCTCGTAGACTCTGTGTTGGTGTGTTACTGAGCTGCCCTGGCATGGGGTAGGTGTGCTGCCAGTGCTGAGTGCTCAGGGAAAAGAAACTCACAATTTCCCTTGGGGTTATACATTTCTGCTGGAATGGATACTGCTGTGTTATAGAATGCTTTGGGTTGGAAGGGACCTTAAAGATCATCTTGCTCCAGCTCTTCCTGTCTTAGGTAAGAGTGCTTGTCTGATATTACACATAAACTTGTGGTCACTGTGGAGCAAAATGAGCCACAGCCTTGTAAAGTACAAACTCAGAAGTAATGAATTAAGAAATTGTGTGTATAATCTTATGCTATAGCTGAATTGAAGGGGGAGTCTCACTTTTCTTTCTTCTGAAAAGTTTGGCTGGTGGAAAGGCAGATCATCTCACCAAACTTTGAGGTAGCTTTGTTCCAGTTCAGAACCATTTAGCAATAAACAGTTCATGAATTTGAATTCCTTTTTAACCTAAAATATTACAGTTCTGGAATTGATTTTTCTTTTCCCTTTTTTTTTTTTAATGTGACATCTGGACTGTTCAGGGAGTGTTACTCCATCTTAAAATGGGGGTAGTCATCTTTTTGAGTAGTGGATATTTTATAAATTGAGTAGAATAATGAACAAGTAGAGAAAAGATAATACAACTGACTATTGCCTTTCACATCTGGCAACATAAGATCTTTAATTGATTTAGAGGGGTTATTTTGTCTGAACACTTGCAATTAGCAGCTCTTAATCAGTAAAACGCTTTGTAAGAAATCTGGCTTGATGGGTAGATTGATAAAAGGAGCAGGAGGAGCAGATATTGATGATTATGGATGCTAAATCTGAGCCACAGTGCCTGTACAAATTACAGGCCGCCTGGCTCCTCGGGCTGCCTGAGAAAATAGCCTGGGAAAAATATGAGAAGGAATTAAAACAATTCTCAGAGATACTAAACAGCCTTGCAGGTGTTGTTTTGCAACCTGTTGTTTCTCCTTGCAAGAGAGAGTCAGGGGGAGCAAAGTGCCCCTGACCAATGATGGTGGTGTAGTACTTTGTTAACCAATAAGAGTTTCCTTTCTGTACTTTTCCACGTATCTGTCTATAAGACAGGGCTGAAGCAATAAACTAGGAATTCTCCTGTTGTGACTCCCTTGAGAGTCCATTGTCGTTCTTTCTAGCCGTTCCCAATCGGAACGACAGATGATTTCTTATCTCCTCTCCCAAAACCCTCTGCATTCTGTGAGAATAGCAGACTGGGTGGGAAACAGATCTGCATGTTGCTTTCATCAAGCTATGGATTAAAGAATCAGGCTGGAAAAGGCTTTGAGTTCACCTGTTGTGCTCTATCCCAGGGTAGGGTGGAGGTACCTTTATCATGACTTGTCTATACCAGATGTTAAGGAATACGGTTTTAGCAGCCTCAGGCCATGGAGGCTGTGCCTTTTTGCTGCTCCTCACAAATTACATTTTTTATCTTCTTGAAGCTCCTGTAGAGGGTACCTTGTGTGAATGTTTTCCTCTCTCTTTGGCCATGTTTAGGTGAAAGGGACGTGAGAGCCAAGCAGGAAGGCGGATTATTTCTGCAAGGATGAGCGGGCGTTGCTAGAGATTATCTGTGGTTCGGTCCAGCTGGAGCTGTCTGAATGAAGCTATGGGCTGTGCCTCCACCAAGCATGTGTCTACTGTTCAAAACGAAGAGGAAACTCAGAAGGGCAAGAACTACCAGAACGGAGATGTGTTTGGGGGTGAGTGTTGCAGGATTGGCTTTCTTCTAGTATCACACATGTTCTGGAAGGTGTACGAGGAAGTCTTAACCTTCAACAAAATATAAAGAAAAATGTATGTTAAAATAGAGCAGTTGGCCCATCCAGGGGAGGGTACCATGACACTTGAAACAGGTGAAATCCTTAATGAAAAAACAATGTTTTAAGTGATGTATAGTGCTACACCATCTTTTACATCCACAAATCATGGAATAGTTCAAAGACAATGAGTTGCAGAACCCCCTTATGTATTTATATATGTTTGTCATTGAGTACCAACATAGTTGACTCATTTCCTAAAAATAAAAATCTGTTTGGTAAGAAAAGTAATTCCTCACTTCTGTTGTCCTGTAAAACAATAAAACATTAGTTCTGAAGTTCTGTAGCAAACCGTGTTTGAAGGTACAATGAAGCTAGAACTGAGGGATTTAGTGGTTCTGGGAATCTAGGAACATGGGATGAAAACATCTGTTTCACTGTGAAGACTGGTCTGTGATCCAGGTCTTGTGCATCAGGAGAGGTAAAGTGATAGGAGATAAAATCATAGTCAGCTTCATGGTTTGTTTGGTTTTTTGCCTCAGATTCTGTTAGCATACGCTAAGTGGTTTTTAGATAAAGCTGTAAATCTTTAAGTACAATTTTAAAATGTCAGGAATTATCTGAAAGACTGCTCAGAAATTAAATTTCTAGAACTGCCTGGCTATCTGTCTGAAAGTTAAGTCAGCTGTGAATAAGCTGCCTTGGTACTGTTATTCTTAAAACAGGTGCCTTGGTACTGAGTATACCAAACCACCCTGGTATTTTTTCCAGACTTTCTGAGGGCTAGCTTGCTTTCCCAGTGGATCCCAGAGTAAGAATTCCCAGAGCTGTTACCTGAAGAGAAAGTAGTTGTTGAAATTCAGGACTGTTCCATGTTCCTTCTCATCCTTGGGAGATGCTGGGCTTGGAATTCTGAGCTCAGTACATTGGTTTGGACTTGTGTGCTGTCATAAACAGAAAATTATATCAATTGCTCCAAGGAATGTGAGTTCAGATTTTAGCTTATGCTTAATAAGGTAGCAATTTTTGGCAAAATGTGAGACTCAATCTTATTTATTTTTTTGGTGGTGGTGGTGGTAGTTTAACCACATGCTGTGGGTCAAAGACCATAACTTTAACACAGGAAACTTAAAGTAGCTTCTGGAATCAGAGGATCAAGAAGATGGAAGGGATTTTAAAAGGCTCCCATTTATAGAGCTGGACTGGTATCAACAGTATAATTTAGCTATTCTGGGATCCATTTGAGGGCTGTTAATCGTTCCATATTTTACTGTCAGGAGTACTACCATTTTCTGGCCCGTGATTTAGTTTAGGTCTGGGATTTGTCATTACTAAAGATCTGAGTCCATGACTGATTCCTTCTTAGTGGAGTTGGAGTCTGACTTAAACAACTCATTGAATGGTAACCATAGAAGTCATATTTTTCCCTTGCTGGTGAAAGACAGCTTCTAGGTCAGAGCTGGGTGTAAGCGGAGGTTGAGCTGGAGTTTTACAGATCATCCAGTGCCACCCCCTGCCATGGGCAGGGACACTTTCTACTGTCCTAGGATGCTCTAAGCCCTGTCCAGCCTGGCCTTTGACACTTCCAGGGATCCAGGGGCAGCCACAGCTTCTCTGGGTACTGATGCTTCCCACCCTGATGCTTCCTTTCTTATTTCTGGGAAGGGACAGAAGTGCCTCACACAGCCAGTGGCTACAAGCAGAGTATCTGTGCTGCCTGTAGGGATTGAAAGTTCCTTGCGGTTTGATTAGGCAGAGCTTAAACCAAGGTGAGGCGCCAGGAGGTGATAGAAAGGGAATTAGAGGTTAGTTTTTGGGGAGGAGGCTGCAAAGTAAAGGAAATGGCAGTCAACTAGGGTTGGAAGGTGACTGATGTGTCAGTAACACCCTAAGAATATCAGTGAACATAAATCATGCTGTGCATGGACAGTGAACACAGACAGTGTTGGCAAGTGGGGACTAATGTGACATCAAGTACCTGTGCAGAGCTAGCAGGGGATGAGCCTCATGGCTGTGATAGCCACATTGCCTCAGATGTTTCACAAGGGGTGGAAATTCTGAGGGATTTGGTACAGCAAGGAGAGGATTAAAGGAAAAGAGCAGAGTGCTGGTGCTTCCTTTCCTGGGCAGGTGGTGGGATCTGAAGGATGTGGCTGACAGGAAATTGCCCCTTGCTGTGTGACTACACCCAGCTGGAAACAGTTCACCTTCCTTCCTCTAGCACCTTCCCCAGGCAAGCTGCAGGCAGAAGGAGTCAATAGTAAGGACTGTACTTTCCAGTTAAGCAGTGGGGTTTTTTTCCCATGAGTAATTTTTACTTGACTCACATTGAATCCATAGATAATTTTCTGAGCTTCTTGGAGTGATGCAGTTCTGCTTTGGCTCTTCCTCAGAACCTCTGGATCTGTTTTTCTTCCTTCATGGTGGGATTGGTTGCAGCCAAGTCTGTTGACTATTGCGAGATTATGGATTCTGACAGATTTATTTTTTTAACTTCCAACTGTTGACTATTGCGAGATTATGGATTCTGACAGATTTATTTTTTTAACTTCCAAAAGTCACTTCAGGTTAAGATTGATCTCCAGTACCCTATTTCTTCCCCAGCTTTTAACCTTTTTATTTTAGCTGAGCAGACGCATTGAGCCAGGTGCTTGCTGTGAATTTGAAACCCTGGTGTTTAAAACCAAGAAGCCCATCATGAAACCCATGAATTCTCTAAGGACAAATCCTGGTAAATGAAACCAAAACATAAAAATTTCCAGCCTATCCCAAACTGTAGAAGACGTGCTGCATTTTGCTCTAATATATATTTAAATAATAGAGTTAGCAGGCCTATCAAAGGAGATGCTCTAGAGAAGATTGAATATAATATGATTATTATGTCTGTTGGTCTCTAATGACTTTAAAATCCCTCTAATAAGGATAGTAATAATAAATCTTCATTTATTCATCATTCCACTTCAAAGCTGATTTCCAGGGCAATGCATAAGAACTATAACATGTAAATGCCAATGAAGAACAAAATGCAGTGATAGAGCCTTGAGCATTGTTGATTTCAGCATATGTTTTAATAATATAACATCTCTTGTAGATTAATTTTATTTGTGCCTTTATGAAAAATTATGGGATGTTCATTTGGGGAGGAGGTTATTGAAGTAATTCTTTCTGTAAGAAAGTAAGTGGTAATGTGATTTGGGAAAAAAATATTCTAGAATCTGTTCATTAATCTGAGACGCTTAATCCAGACGTTTCCATGGAACTCCTGGGTGCTTTGCAAAAGGGGGAGCGAACACGTCAGGTCGGAATTTTCTGACAAAATGGGAATATCATGGTGGGATTTCTGTTACTAAGAACAGCTCCAATTTCTAAACCTATCTAAATAAAGATGAATGCAAAGCACAATAGTTTATAAACCAGTTTATCTCAGAAGAGCTGAGAGAAGGTTAGGAAAGGAAATTTTCAGCAGTAAATCTGGATGGTGATTTGATGGATTGTGGTGGTTAGCTGATGAACACTCCATGAGGAACTGCTCCAACTCATGTGGCTGTCCTGGTGTGTTCTGCAGTATCAGCTCTTACTCATTCTGGGGACAGATGCTGTGTCCTAATTCCATACTTTGAGACTAACTTTCTTTGAAGACATTTTCAGACATGAAAAGTATTTCTGGTACAATCACAGGCACTTGTTCTTATCCAAGCTTAATGGAAGTGAGTGGCCTGTAGGCACCCTTTCACTGAAAACTCAGTCTCAGGGGTCTAAAACCAAATATCAGAGTGAGTTTCAAAGGTGGAGATTTTCAGATTCTGGCTGAGTTCCAGAAAGGGAAGGTTTCATGTTGTTCATAGTTTCAGCAGTTCATATTGTAAAGTAGTTCTTGTTCCAGTGCTTGAAAGCTAAAGAAAAGCAGATGAGTGAGTGAGTGAGTGAGTGAGTGCGTGAGTGCATCACAGCAGAGAGTTGAAGTGCATGAGCATCTTCCAGAATTGTACTGGACTCTGTGTTTTTTAACTGCTGGAGGGAAGGTTTAAATTAGGGATTCTGAAGAAATTCTTCCCTGTGAGGGTGGTGAGGTGAGGCCCTGGCACAGGGTGCCCAGACAAGCTGTGGCTGCCTCTGGATCCCTGGAAGTGTCCAAGACCATATTGGACAGAGCTTGGAGCAACCTGGGATAGTGGGAGGTGCCTCTGCCCAGGACAGGGGTGTGATGGTATAATCTTTAAGGTCCCTTCTAACCCAAACCATTCTGTGATTCTGTGATTCTCTTTCCTTGCCTTGTTTAGCAATTTGTTGATAAAGTGAGTAAGGTGAGCAGGGGGCAGTCCTAAACAAGTGTTTCAGGAGGTGAGAGAAATTAATAGAACCAAACCCTACCTACCCTGGTTATATTCATGTGGGAAATGTACCAAAATTGCATGTGTTATCTAGGTTTATGATGTATTTGTGTAACTCTGAGAACACCCTTTGTAAGTCAATAATTTACTATTACCATAAGGAAGAAACAGAGTTTAAAGGTAATCAAAACAAAACAAACTGCACCCTTAGGTTTTTTCTAGTTATGTATTCATGATCAGTATATGCAAAGAAAGTGTTTTCCATATGAATTAAAACTGTATTTTCACCTTTTACATATAGAAGTGGCTCATCTTTATAGCTCTTGGAAAAGGTGCTGCTTTTGCAGACAAGGGAAGAGGCTGCTCTGGACTGTGTGTTAGCTCTGAGTAGTAACAAAACAAACCCTTCCTCTCCAGCAAGGAAATACAGATATATAAATACAAAAAGAGCAGTCCCAGGCATGGCAATGAACCAGGCCCAGGGAATGCAGTGAGAGGAGCACCAGGAGATGAGGCTGGAGAGGAGAGATGAGAGAGATGTCTACAATGTGAGGCTGAGGTCCCTCCAGGAGATGGGACCAAAGGCAGGACAAGAGACAGGCAGGGACTGGA